GAAGGGAGGTGGGGATGCACACACACACACACACACACCACACCCCCCGCCCCCAAGACATAGACCATATTATTTGACAGTGTAGGCTTGTTCTGCCCCTATGGTCCGGTCTCTCTGCTGAGAGGAAGAGGGTATATTTCATGAGGAGTACTCTGAAATCGGTACTAGTCAATAAATTGAAGCAACAAGCATTAGCTGTATGCTTAATATATGTCAAGCACTGTGCCAGATACTGGGGATATAATCTGAACATGAAAGCAGGTAGTCCTTATTCCAGGTAGTTTTCATTCATCGCATTGATCAGAATTCTAACATCTTTCAGTGTCGTTTTCCTTTTTATTATTGTGGCCATTGTGTAAATTTTTCCCTTGCTTCTGTTTACTCTGCTATTTGTCAGTTCATATAAATTCTCACAAGTTTTTCTGAATTTTTAAATTCAATTTATGTCTGTGTTTTTAAAACAGTCCCTTCTGGATACACCTGTTTGTTTTCTACTCCCATCCCCAGTGAGCGCCTTTACTTTGTAACAAAGGAAAAAATAGTTATGTAAACTCAACCAACCTATTTAACAATGTGTCTAATTGTGTCTAATAGTATATGAATATTCCTACACATAGCCCCACACTTCTCCAGCAAAAAGAAGATGCATTTCCCCTTTTTTTCTTTAGATTAAAGATCAGTCATCATAATATAAAAGTGACTATCCTGGCCCCCATCGCCTGAAGGCCCAGTATATTACATTTCACCCCTCCCCAAGGGTTTTCTAGTACCTTTAAGAGAGTTTGGGATTCAAAGGGCTATAAAACTGTGCATACTCTTTGACCCAGCAATAGCACTTCCAGGTCTGTATCCCAAAGAGATCATACAAATGGGAAAAGGACCCACATGTACAAAAATATTTATAGCAGCTCTTTTTGTGGTGGCACAGAATTGGAAATTGAGGGGATGCCCATCAGTTGGGGAATGACTGAACAAGTTGTGGTGTATGAATGTAGCGGAATACCATTGTGCTATAAAAATAATGAGCAGGAAGACTTCAGAAAAACCTGGAAAAACTTATATGAGCTGATGCTGAGTGAAGTCAGCAGAACCAGAACATTGTACACAGTGACAGCCACATTGTGTGATGACTAACTTTGATAGACATCATTTCTTAGCAATGCAAGAATTTAAGACAACTCCAAAGACAAAATTTTCTCTTATACCACCTTAGTCTTTGGGGAGCAAAAGGGGAACAGGTTTACATCTTATCTCAGTTCCTATATAGCATGGTCCCACCAAGTCCAAAGCCCCCATGGGCTTTGGTCTAGCACCCTGAGCTGACAGCAATAACTAATCTGGAATCCTGCCTCCAAGGTGGTCATTGGTTTCCTAGGTCCAGAGACTCTGCTGCCTGTACCTAGAACTGAAAAGGACAAATAGAATAGATAAAAATCCAAACCTGATTCTTGAGTCCATAGAGTCTAAGGGAGAAGGGGAAGGTAGCCCTTCCCTCTACTTGGTTTAGTTCATGGTGCCCATGCTGTGGGTGAACAAGACTTTCAGCTCCCCTGTACACTGCCAGAAAGGGAGAATGAGACTGTCCCACTCTGGTAGTTTTAAAGATGCAGCTTATTCTGGCTGTGCAGCCGTGGAAAACAGCTACTGCAGCCCATATGGTAGGGGAACACAGGATATCTTTTTCCAGAAGCAGGTTCCTACCATCTCCCACGTATGTCCCTCTATCTTGAAATTGACATACAATGCTGATGAACTTCCCTGGGCAGCCAAATTTTGACATAATTTTCCATAAACCCTCATGATTCACAGTATCAAAGGCCTTGGTAAGATCTACAAATGTTGTGTACAGACCTCTGTTCTGGTCCTGGCATTTCTTCTGGAGTTGTTGGGCAGCAAATGCCGTATTGACTGTTCCTCTGCCTTTTCTGAAACCACACTGGCTCTCAGGTAGATGACTCTCAAAGTCTGTCTTAAGAACTTTGGAATTGATTGTGTGACATGGGAGACACTGGCATAGGACTACTTAGCATGGCATGCCCACCTCAGAGAGGGTGCTGTGCTCTATGAGCAAAGCAGAATTGAAATAGCTCAAAAGAAAGGTGAGATATACAAATTTAGAGAATCCACCCCAAATGTTCACGTGGACTATTTGTGCCCAACCTGTAGTAGAACATTCTGAGCTCGTATTGGTCTGATCAGCCACAGTCAGACATACTATAACTTGACTCTAGCATGCTGATGCCATTTTGGTCTTCTTCGAGAACGAAGAACAACAACTAACCTCTATCTTAAGTGATTTGAAGGTACATAGCAAAGCCCTGTTACAAAAATTACACAGCATAGTTTCTTATAGTACAAAAATAAATGTTTCATCCCATTCATATACCACAGAATGAACCAAATGTGTTCATCCATTCCCCATTTTATGGATACCCACTTTATTTTCAACGTATACTTTTGTGTATAAATTATATATTTTAATATGTGTTCTTTCCCTTTGGTTTTATTCTTTTCAGGCTGTATAATAATAATGTAATGACTGGATCAAAGACTTTATGTGTTAGTGAATTTTCTAGTATAATTCCATTTATTTTCCAAAATGAGCCAATTCTCAGCTCTAACAATGGTTCCTATCTTATTACAGCCCCTCTATTGACCATTTTTACTTTTTGTTATCTGTACAAATACAATGAGTATTACATTGGAACGCCCTGAGTTGCATTTCATTTCTCTTATCATTATGATTAAAGAACTGATAGTTTTCATTTCTTCTTTTGAAAATTGCCTTTTCATGTTTTTAACACTTACTTCACTTTCCCTGATTTATAAAGATCTTGTATCCTTTATGTCTTATTTTCTTTTGATTTTGTTCTGTCAGTTTTTCTCTCAGCTCTGCATTCTTAAGTTCCAAATCTTGCACATGGTTACAGAGCTAGTTAGTGTCATAGGTGGAGATTTGAAATTAGGCCTTTCAATTTGAAGTCCAACACTCTTACAAATAATAATATAATAGAAATGCTCATATTGGGAAAACTGAAAACATAATCACTCAGTTCCCCTCAGAATCTGTTTATGTATTTGCAAAGGGCTCTTGCCCTTGTTGGCTTTAAAAATGCAGTTGTAGTCTAATTCTTTGTTGGTATTATCAGCTGACTATGTTTTGCATAATTTCATATAGGTGTTCCCTTCTTGTATTTCTTCATATTTGTTATTTTGTGTCACCATGATACTAGATGTTGCAAAAATTTAGTCAATCATTCCTTAATGATTAGAAATATAGATTTTCAGTTTTTCACTATTACAAATGTATTAATAAACCAGAATATCCACAGAAGCATGTCTAAAATGGTGAGACTCATGGTGATTGTTTAGAATGAGGTAGAGATATTTAGCCTGGAGAGGCAAATGTTAAGGGGAGATGCTTGTCTTCAAGTATTTGAAAGACTATCATGTGGGAGAGGGATCAGATTTGTCTTACTTGATCCCAGAAAGCAGAAAATAAGAGCAATGGGTGGAATTGGGAAAGAAACAAATTTATGTTTGCTTATAGGATCATGGATTTTAGTGCTGGAAGGGACCTTAGAAATAATCTCATATCACAGAGAGGAAACTGAAGCCCAGAGAGGAATGACTTGCCCAAGATAGTACGTGGCCCAGCTAGAATTCAAACCTAGGTCTAAATTATGTACTCTTTCCACAATACCACTTTCACATGAGGAAAAAGTGCCTATCAGTGAAAGCTATCCCAAAATAGAATGATCCACCTGGAGGGAGGGAGTGGATTCTTCTTCATTAAAAGTCTTCAAGGAAAAGATTGATGAACACTTGTCAGGAATATTGTAAAAGGAATTCTTGTTCAGAGACATGTTGGTCTAGTTGACTTTTGAGGACTCTTTCAAATTTGAGATTCTGTGAATCCATAAAAAATAAAGCCACCATGACTATTTTTGTATAGACAGGTTTTTTTTTTTGTTTAATTATAAATGTTGTCTTCAGGACTTGATCCTAATAGTGATAGCATTGCCCTATGAAAGGGCATATGATAAATTTTGTGACTCATCTATTGCTAGATTGCTCTTCAAAAGTTTGCTCCAGTCTACATAGCCTTGCTAGCAATAAATAATATTTTTATATTAATATAATATAATGCCTTCTTTTCCATCACTAACTTTTTATTTCATTCTTTTCTTGCCTGTGCATTTGATGATAAACAAGCTATTTCTCTAATATCTATGTCCTCTAATAATCTATGCATCTCTAATAAAGAATATAGTTTTAAATGTGATTATTAACTATATTCCCCTCTTCAAAAAATATATCTTTATATCTTCATTGCTCTCTAGTGGGAAGGTATATTTTACTTTTATAGATATACATAGGTTCATTGAAAATCTGGATATCAGATCTTTATCAGCTACATTTACTGCAAGTACTTTTTCCTCCCTCAATCTCTTTCTTTCTTTTAAATTTTGGAGAAGTTCCTTTTCATCATGCAAAAATTCTTTAATAACTATACAATAATCAAACCCATTGATTCTGTTTCCAATGATTTTTTCCATTTGCTTGATAAATTTTTTCTCTTCTCCATAATTTAGGGAACTATACTATTCATTTTTTCTTATAAATTATATTTATAATTAATTAAAATTTAGAAATTTAATTATATAATTATATATAAATTATAATTAAAATGTATAAATAATTAAAATGATACAAAATTATTATTACTTGTACATTTTAGATCATTGATCTCAACAGAGCTTATTGTATTATATGGTTTACATTGTGGATCTGCCCCTCCTTCTCCCTCCACATACTTGTGCATTATGCAGGGCTGTTGTCTAGTTCTCTGGGTATCTGCCTGGAGAGCAAGGATTCTATGGAGACTACAAATAACAACAGCTCATCCTTTTTTATTTCCTTCCTTCTGGTTCGAACTGGAAGTCAGTGAAAGAACATCTGTTGTTTAGTTCATTCAAAAGAGGATGTTGAGGCTTATTCTTTGATCAAGTCAAAGGGCACAAAGGAGACATGAATTCTCTGCTTCTTTAGGACACAGAGTCTTTGAAAACTCAGAGATGGCAAGGGCAAGTCTATGGGCATCCGTTTCACCTGGAAGCTATTCAAGTAATACTGAGAAGATGGAAAGTAAGGGATGGTTTCCCTTAGTAGATGTCTACATTTGGCCACTATTCTGTTATTTTAGCTTTGGTTTCCAGTTAATGATGGGAAGTTTGAGTACTTTTGGATGCTTTGGTTTTTGTGTGACTTTTATGATAATAACTAGATTCTTGGTTTCCATTTAGGACTGTATAATATCTGTGACACTTTTTTTTTTCAAGAGATTCTCTATCCTACTCAAGAAAGGATGTTTTTGTTGTTCTTTTATTATGTTTTGTTTTTCCTACTGATAATGATATTTGTTGTTATTTTATTTCATTTTATTTTTCAGTTTGACTTCAGTTCATGTACAGTTCCCTGCCAGGAGAATTGCGTGTTGTTCTCAGAAGTTTGTATAGCTATTAACACTTAATCTTTAAAAGGATTCTTTCCATAAATTAATTTACTCGAAAACTGTTTTCATAGATGCTCAGTTGTGTTGAATAGGCTGTCACTTTTGAGTTATAAGTCTGAATGCATGCTTTTTCTATGTGGATGTAGGGGAAAGTGTGTTAAGAAGGTGATTAGCTTTGACTAGACTTTGTGGGGCATACAGATTTCTGAGTGATCTGTTGCTGTGTTGCTGCAAAGTAAAGTTTATTTAAAGGAAGTGTATGTATGTGTACATGCATGTACATGTGCACATGCACAGGGGCATGTACACAGTTTATGTTTTCTTTGGGCAATCAGCCTAATTTTAAAACTTTTTTAGGGAAAACTTGAAACTAGATCATTATAAGATACAGAGGTGATTTAAAGCTTTTGGTCAATCATAATGCATTGCTATTATTAAAATATTACTTAACTCTTATAAGTTATTTAGCTACAGATGATCCCGTAGAATTTCATGCACCTTGATCTAGTAGTCCAAATTGCCAGAATTCCATACTGATGAATGTTCTAGATACTTTTTTGATATTGATTTCTAAGGAATTCACTTTAGGAGGTGGTATGATGTGTGGAACAGGTGCTGCACTTGAAATCAAATGAGTTGGGTTTGAGACCTGACTTTGACACTTATATGACCTTGTACAAGCCATTTAATTTTTGGGGGCCTAAGTTTCCTCTTCTGTAAAATAAGGGGTTGGGTTAGAAAAACCTTAAGGACCTGTCCAGTTCTAAATCTTTGATCCTACATTTATGTCTGAAAACTTAGTGATTTCTAACATGTACATTTCATGTTTTTTTTTCTTCCACGTAAGATAAAGTAAGGTTCACAACCAGCTCACCTATTCATCTTTATATATAAGTTAGGGTGAGGTAGAGTTTGACTGGATGACTTCTGAGATCTTTAATCCAGGATTCTGTAATTATATAAATTCATAGTTCTGTTTCTTTGTAAGTCTTTTATATTCTAGCTTCTCTTCTTATAAAGATCAAATTATAAAAATTAAATTTTCTCTTTTTGATAAATATTAACCATATATTTAAAGAGAAATTTATCAAAATCCAGATTTTAAAATATGAAATAGAAGTATTAGTCTATGTACAAGTTTCAGAGTTGTAAAATGCTACAAAATACCCTAAAGGGTAAGCATTAGTATTTCCTTTCCTAGAGGAATTATTTTTACAAGGTGAAATTAACAACCCCAAAATTTAAGAGATTAACCAAATAACAGCAGAGTAAGATTGTTAGTGAGTCATAACAAGTCTGAATGTATCTTTTTTTATTGTTGTTTTTTAAGTTAAATTTTATTTTTTAATTATTAAGCATTTGTATTTTTTCTCTCCTACTACCTTCTCTCCCTCAACTAGAAAAAAAAAAGAAACCCTTATAAAAAATAAGCCAAATCAAACAAAGCAAATTCCCATAATGGTCATGTCCAAAAATGTGTTTCTCTTTTGCATATTAATCAGTCACCTGTCTGTGTGGGGGTAGTCTTCATCATCACTGGTCCTCCAGAATCATAATTGGTCTTTGTGTTGATCAGAGTTCTTTAGTCTTTCAAAATTATTCATTTTAGCAATGCTGACATTTTAGTATAAATTGTTTTCCTGGCTCTGCTCACTTTACTCTGTATCAGTCCATATAAGTCTTCCTAGATTTCTCTGAAAACATCTCCTTCATCATTACTTACAGCACAACAGTAATCCATTATATTCCAATACTATAATTTGTTCAACTCTTCCCCAGCTGGTAGGCACCCCCTTCATCTCCAGTTCTTTGCCACTACAAAAAGAGCTATTATAAATATTTTTGTACAAATAGAACTTGTTCCTCTTTCTTTGATCACTTTCAGGTATAGGTGGAGTAGTGATATTACTATATTAAAGTATGTGCAATTTAATAACTTTTTGGCCATAGTTTTAAATTGCTTTCCAGAATGGCTGTACCAATTCACAGCTCAATCAGGTGTGTGTCAATGTGCCTGTTTTCCCATAGTTCCTTTAACATCTATAAGTTTAACATTTATAAGTTTACCATCAGAGTTCATTAGTTTTCTCTCTTTCTTCCTTTGCTTCTCTTTTTTCCTTCATTTCTTTCTTTTCTTTTCTTTCTTTCTCTTTCTTTCTTTCTTTCTTTCTTTCTTTCTTTCTTTCTTTCTTTCTTTCCTTCTTTCTTCTTTCCTTCCTTTCTTTTTTCTTTTTGAGACTAAAATATCTAATGTTTGCTTACAGGAGAAGGTTAACTTTCATAGGATTTCAGAATTGGAAGGAGCTACAAAAGTCATATGGTCTAACATTTATCAGCAAGAATCTCACCTATCACATTCCTAACAAGTATGTACACGACCTTTGTTTGAAGACATGTTTATAAGGGGAAACCTACACCATCCCAAGACAGTGCCTTACATTTGTAGGTAGTACTAATTCTTAAGAAGTTTCCCCTTCTATTGTGCCTAAACCACAACTCTGCAGCATGACTCATGGGCATTCCAAATCTTGTTCTCCTTGATTTATAGTATTTTAAATCTTGACTATCTTTTACTTATCAAAGAGTCATTAAAAATCTCCATAATAATGGAAAGAAAGACACTGAGGGTTTTATATTTGGAAGCTTAATCTCTTTAAATTTCTTTTTAAAAAACTAATTTTCTGGGAAATAAACTGAAGCTGTGAAGTTTGTTTTTAGCTGGAGTGAATGGCTTCATTTAAAATGATTTGAAATAATCTAAAACATCATCAATAATGTGGGTTGGAAAACAGCAGAAGTATTATAAGCAAAGTAATGGAAATATTTCAAGTGTAAGGGAGGTATTTAGTTTAATGCCACAGAGAGTAGGGAGTCTGATTAGTCAACCTAAATGTGGCAATGGCTCAGAAGAAATGTGGGATATCTGATAGTTTATTGTACATATATATTTATCAAAAGGTTGTCGTTTGGCAGCAGAACATCAAGTGTGTATGAGTTTTTGTTTTTCTTTTTATTGTTTGTTTTGTTTTTATTTTTTATATATTTATCCACACAATAGTGTTTTATTTTTTCCAATTACATACAAAGATAGTTTTCAACATTTTGAGTTCCAATTTTTTTTCTCCCTCCCAACCCCTCCTCTCTCTCCAAGACAGCAAGCAATCTGATATAGGCTATACATGTACAGTCATATTAAACATATTTCCACGTTAGTCATGTTGTAAAAGAAGAATCAGAACAAAAGGGAAAAACCACAAGAAAGGAAAAAAAGGGAGAAAATAGTATGCTTCGATCTGCATTCAGACTCCATAGTTCTTTCTCTAGATGTGGATAGCATTTTTCCATCTTAAGTCTTTTGGTGGTTTATTTTGTTTTAAAGAGGGACCAGATTCTGGAGACATCCCAAATCTGAGTTGAAAACTAGTGGTCAGAGACATAGGCATAAATGCCTTGCAGTGGCAGCTGAGCTGTATTACCTCTTAAGAACAATGAACTTTTGGGAACAATGAACTCAGATCTCCACATTTATTGAAGGGACAATTAATTAGTGAAACTTTGGCAAATTACTGTGCAAATTTTGCTGTGTAAAAGAATAACAGAATAATGTTACATTTTCTCATAAGAATAGGACAAGTTAGTTGTTGAGTGGAAGATTCCAACATTAATGATTCTCCAAAGGCATTTGTATCTTATTATTTACAAAAATGAAATATGCAGAAAGTAGATATTTTAACCTTTGCAAATTAGTGAACTAGTTTAATGTGTATTACCCTTAGATGTATTACCACTTAATATAATACTTAAAAAATACTTTATTGATACTTTTTTTCTTTCTTCATCACCATCTCTTCCTAATGATTCCATTTCCAAGAGAATCCTCATTTGGAGCAGAGAATTGCAGCTAAGCAAAACAAACCAAGACACTGGCCACACTGGATAACCTGTGTCTCCTTCCACATCTCTTGACCCCTTCTCTGTTAAGGAGAGGGGGGCGTGTCTTATAGTCCCTCCTCCTACAGTCACAATTGGTCATGTGGTTAGAGTTCTTTGAGTATTTCGTTTTCTACATTAGCAGAATCTTCAGGTGTGTTTGCGGTTCTATAAATATACTTTCGTTGACTTCATTTACAATTTTCTTTGTTCCAGTAAATGTGCGTTCACTTTTACTACTACCTATTGAAGTCTGACTTCTGTATCTCTTCTTCCATTCGAGACAAAACTTCTACCTCTGACACTGAGCCTACCCCATTTGGTTTATAAATGCTAATGTTTATAATATAATCAACATGTTCATTTCTGAAGGCCAGCAGTTTCTACAAGACTTAGGCAACGGGATCAAGCAACAAAAGAGAGTTGCTTGTTATCCTCCAATAGGGTGTTAGAGAAGGGAATAAGGTTATTGTCTCAGAGACTTTTTGAAGTTGGAAGAGGCCATCTGACTTAGCTCATAGGAGATTTTTAGAAGGTATGTGCCTCCCCTCCAAAAAACACATTATTTATTTATTTTTAATATTAATTAAGAAATTTTTTTGAGTTCCAAATCCTTTCCCTGCCCAAAGCCCCTCCTCCACCCATTGAGAAGGCAAGCAATATATCAGTTATGCATGTGAAATCATGCAAAAGGTTTCCATGTTAGCTATGTTGCAAAAAAAAAAAAGGGTAAGAAAAAATAAAGTGAAAAAATTATACTTCAGTTTGCACTCAGAGTTCATTAGTTCTCTCTCAGGAGGTGGATAACATTCTTTATCATAAGTCCTTAAGAAATCCTTGGATTTCTTTATTGATCAGAGTTTTTCCACAGTTTATCATCATTACAATATTGCAATAATGTTCTCCTGGGTTTGCTCACTTCACTTTGCATCAGTTCATTAAGTGTTTCAAGGTTTTTCTGAAACCATCCTTCTTGTTATTTCTTATAGCACAATAATATTCCATCATAATCATATACCACAACTTGCTCAGCTGTTCCCCAACTGATAGGCATCTTCTCAACATCCAGTTCTTTGCCACTATAAAAAGAACTGCTGTAAATATTTTTGTACATATAGGTCCTTTTCCTTTTTCTTTACTCTTTTTGGTTTACAGACCTTAGCTGCGTCAAAAGGTATGCACAGTTAAATAGCTCTTTGGACATAGCTCCAAATTGTTTTCCATAATGGTTGGACTAGTTCAACTATTTTTATGAATTTGACTCAGTTCCCTACAGATTTGAGAAATGAGGTCTGAGACAAACTTGTTGTGTTCCTTCTAATTTTGACTGCATTGGTTTTGTTTGTGTAAAATACTTTAAATTTCATGTAATCAAAATTATGGTCAGCTAGGTGGTGCAGTACATAGAGTGCTTGGGCTGGAGTCAGGAAGATTCTTCTTCTTGAGTTCCAATCTGGCCTCAGATACTTACTCGCTGTGTGACCCTGGGCACGTCACATAAGCTCTGCTTGTCTAAATCCACTGGAGAAGGAAACAGCAAACCATTCCAAGTTGCTTTCCAGCTTTCCCAGCAATTTTGGTCAAATGGTGAGTTCTTGCCCTCAAAGCTCAGCCTTTGGACTTAACAAACACTAGATTACTTTGGTCTTTTACTATTGAGTATTGTGTGCCTAATCTATACCATTGATTCACCACTCTATTTCTTTTTTTTGTTGTTGTTGTTCTTTTTGTGAGGCAATTGGGGTTAAGTAGCTTGCCCAGGGTCACACAGCTAGTAAGTGTTACGTGTCTGAAGCTGGATTTGAACTCAGGTCCTCCTGACTATAGGGCGGGTGCTCTATTTACTGCACCACCTCGCTGCCCCCCCACCACTCTGTTTCTTAACCACTCCCAGATTGTTTTGATGTTTGCCACTTTGTAATATAGTTTGAAATGTGGTACTAATAGACCACTTTCCTTCATATTTTTTTATTGATTCCTTTGATGTTCTTGACCTTTTGTTATTCCAGATGAATTCTGTTATATTTTTTCTGGATCTACAAAATAATTCTTTGGTAGTTCGATTGGTATGGCACTAAATAAGTAAATAAATGTAGGTAGAAATGTCATTTTTATTATATTGGCTTGGCCTACCCATGAGCAATTAATATTTCTCCAGTTGTTTAGATGTCTTTATTTGTGTGAAAAGTGTTTTGTAATTGTGTTCATATAGTGTCTGGGTTTCTCCTGGTAGGTAAACTTCCAAGTATTTTATTTTATCTGCAGTTATTTTAAATGGAATTTCTCTTTCTATCTCTTCCTGCTGGGTATTGTTGGTAATATATGGGAATGCCAATTAATTTTATAGATTTATTTTATATCCTGCCACTCTGCTAAAGTTAATTGTTTCACCTAGTTTTTTAGTTGATTTTCTAGGGTCCTCTAATTGTACCATCATATTATCTGCAAAGAGTGATAGTATTGTTTCCTCATTGCCTATTCTTTTCCTCCAGTTTCCTTTTCTTGTCTTATTGTTGTAGCTCACATTTCTAGTACAATATTGAATAATAGTGATGATAATGGACACCCTTGCTTCACTCTTTTTCTTATTGAGAAGTCTTCTAGTTTATCCCCATTACAGATAATGCTTTCTGATGGTTTTAGATACTACTTATCATTTTAAGGAAAGCTCCATTTATTCCTATGCTCTCTAGTGTTTTTTGATAATAGTGGGTGCTGTATTTTGTCAAAAGCTTTTTCTGCATCTATTGAGATAATCCTATGATTTTTTGTTGAAGCTATATGACTTTTAAATTCAATCTGATCTTATAATTTTTTTCTTCAGACCATCTAGCTGTTGCTTCAATACAGTTAACTATGTAATCTTGGGCAAGTTATTTCTGTCTAAGTCTCAGTTTCTTTCTCTTTAATGTGAAAAGGTTGGTCTCAATGTACTCTGAAATCCCTTCCAGCTCCAACATTTAAAAATTCTATCCCTAGCTATCCTGTAAGCATTAATATTTATTAAAATTATTTTCCCTTAAAATATTTAATTTTTAAAAGTTTTACTGTTTTCTTAACTGTCATTATGTTATGGTTGGTGGTTTACTTTTTCTGTAGAAATAAATTTCCAATGAAATGAAAGTAATCTGGGAGCGGAGATTGGAGGGTTTTTTAATATGATATAATGGGGGGAAAAAAGGAAACCATTGTTTCTGTGAAGTGAGGCAAATCTTTATTTGCTATCACTTTGATTCTCCTACTAATCATGGTACTTGGCACATAGTAGGTGCTTAATAAACATTTATTGATTGATTAATTCTACAGCTTCCTTTTCCTCCCTTTCATGTAAGTCACAATGAGTAGAATCTGATGAGAGGCCTGTCAGACTGTAAAAATTAAATGGTAAAACATTTTAGTTGGTGACTATACTTGATGTAAGGGAAGGGATCCCTAAGGCTTGCATTACGTGCAAATGATGTTGGATAAGATTCAGGTGTGTTTTTTTAAAAAATATTATCTTTAGGAAACCATGTGTGTAACCCTCACGTTTTTTGTTTTGTTTTCAGATATACATGATGGTGATGGGACTCCTAGCAGCAGCCACCAGACTGTAAAAGGCACTGCAAAATGGGCGACCTCCTTGGAGAACTTACTTGAAGACCCAGAGGGAATTAAAAGATTTAGGGTTGCTATTTTTACTACTGATATTGACAGGGTTTAGTCCTGTATGTCATGTCTGAAGGACTGAGGAATTTCTCATTACACAGTCATTGATGAGTTGAAAATATTTTTATTAGTAGAGCTTTACCAAGACCAAATGTAAGATAGTACATTTCAGACATTGTAGAGTATGGGATGATGGTAGATGTGGGTAGAGAACAATATTTGTAAGTGATTAGAGAATTTCTAGCTCTTTAATTCCAGGTAGGAGCAGGAGCCTGTCTGTCTCTGTCTGGCTGCACTATAGAGTCTTATTGGAACCGTAAGAGCCAAAAGGAACATTAGACATTATCTGGTTCAGACCCTTAATTTAACAGATGAGGCAACTGAGGTTCACAAGGAGGAAATTACTTTCCCAGGCTTGTACTTAAGGCGTTCTTAGGATCATGTTACTGATGGAAGCATAGAAAGTGTTTTGTGGTACATTTCAAGTTACCTCAATATTCAGAGAAAGTGCAGAGAATTTAGTGAAAAGATCATTGAATTGGGAGTCAGAGGACATGGGTGTGAATCCTCGTTTTGCTGTTTACTACTTGTGGAATTGTAACCTCCCTGGCCATCAATTTCTTTATTTAAAATAAGAGGTTGGGGTCAGGACTTGGATATCAATTGTTGATATCAATGGGTGCTTCCAAAATCCTGGAGGATTTTTGAATAGAAATTCTCTAGCATACTTAAATACTGTCTCTTGGATAGTCTATTAATTTTCCTATAAAACCTTTCTTCATAGCACAGTGCTCAGCACATATAAGTGCTTATTGATTGAAAAAAAGAGTAAATGAGAGGGTTGGATTAGAGGACCTTTGAGGTTCTTTCTGGCTGTAAATCCTATGAACTATGACAGCAGAGGAAAAAATAGTTTAATACAAATAGCAAAATTTATTTCTTTTACTAATGTATTTGTCAAATAATATTCATGAAATGGTGATCTTTCGGGGCAACTAGGTGGTGCAGTGAATGGAGCTCTGGCCTTGGAGTCAGGAGGACCTGAGTTCAAATCTGGCCTCAGATACATAACACTTACAAGCTTTGTGACCCTGGGCAAGTCGCTTAACCCCATTGCCTAGACAAAAAAAAAAAAACAAACAAACAAAAAACAAAAACAAAAACAAAAAAAAAAGAAAGAAAGAAATGGTGATCTTTCCTAAGATTTGGTTGAGGGAAGAGTTGTCAAATGTTATTCAGTTAAAAGCACCATAAGCAAACACATAAGAATGTGCCAAATCTGCCTAAACTGACCTACTCTTTGAAGCCAGTTGACTGAAAAATCAGATAGGACAAGGCAGGCACCATCAGTATTTCTTTCCTACTCTCCTGTTACTCAACTAGAAGCTGGGAAGCAACTTCGGGCTTGTTGTGTGTGTCTTAGTGAGGAAACATTTGATAGTTATGGTATGGCATTATGGAGAAAATACTGAACTGAGAATATGGATGATGGGATTCTTGTCCCGTACTTGCTGTATGACCTTAGGCAAATCATTTCCACTTCTCTGAGACTTAATTTCATCAGCTATAAAATATTTGGGTTGGACTAGAGCAGGGGTGGGAACCTGAGGCCTCAAGACCACATGTGGCCCTCTAGGTCCTCAAGTGCGGCCCTTTGGCTGAATCCAAACTTCACAGAACAGATCCCCTTAATAAAAGGATTTGTTCTGTAAAACTTTGACTCAGTCAAAAGGCCACACCCAAAGACTTAGAAGGCCACATGTGGTCTCAAGACTACAAGTTCCCCACCCCTGGACTGGAGAATACCCAAGATCGTTTTCAGCCCTTAAGTTTGGTGGCTCTGAGTCAGAGTTTCAAGGTACCACAGAGGTCATGTAGTCCAATACTCACTTGAATTATGAATCTCTGCTGCAAAATATCCAACAAAAGTGGTCATCCAATACCTTCCTGGATGTTTTTGGTGATAGGTAACTCATGAAGCAGCTCTTCATTTTGGGGGATACTCTAATCATTAGTAAGTTTTTACTTATATTGAGCTGAAATCTGCCTTCCTGTAGCTTTTTCTCACTAGCCTTAGTTTCTACACACATCAGGAAAACACCTAAGAATATATAAATGACACTTGGTAGGGGCAGAAAATAGCTCTATTGGCATTTCAAATGATCAAGTGCTATTTTGGCAAGGTACAAAGCACACATTTTCATTTTTTTTGTTTCACATTTGAAAATGAACAAAAGCACCTCAGATTTAAAATTGTTTTAATCATTTCTTTCATAGAGAAGGCTTGTCTATTGATATGTTTTTTCTTCTTTTTTAAAAATATTCTTGCTTTTAGAGGAATGTATTTTGTTTAAACACTGTCTAGGAAGAACTAATATATTTTCCATTTTAATTTACTTTAGGGTCATTTATTATCAGTGAGAAATTTTTTAGAAACTTGCCCAGTTTTTCCTCATCCTTATGACATCAGAATCAGCAAATCCAAATGTTTATAAAGTTTCTGTAATCTTACTAGTTTTTTTTTTTAATCCATTGAAAACAAAGGCATTTACTGTGGACTTGTTACAAGTTGATTGCACAGTGTTGAATAGTTGATCAGTTCCATGTGAAAAAAAAATTAAAAAAAGAGAGAAGCTAAATTAAGAAAATGTATAATGTTTTTTTCTTGTTTCTCCCCAGGAATTTTTGAAAAAAGAATTTAGTGAAGAAAATGTCTTGTTTTGGCTAGCATGTGAAGACTTTAAGAAAATTCAAGATAAGAAACAGGTATTTCCTTCAGTGCTGTTATCAGCCAAGAGTTTCTGTAATATTCTCTTGGGATATATTGTTTTTCTCTCCTTTAAAAAAAATTGAAGTAGGTGTAACTGTCATGCCAAGACACATTTGTAATGCTTGAAGAAATTGGCATACACTATATTTGGAATGTGTTTGACGTGTTCCTTGTATTTTGGAATGGGTAAGAACATTGTATTTGGAACCCTGAGATGTGAGTTTGACTTCCTAATGTCTTTTACTTACTAGCTGTGTGATCTTGGACAAATCACCAATAATAATAACAGCTGATATTTATATTGTGCTTTATCAGTTTTGGAAATTTGTTTTCCTCATCACAGACTTGTGAAGGAAGATGTTGCAGGTATTATTATCTCCATTTTACACATGAGGAAACTGAGGCTGAAGTCAAGTGACTTCCTAAAGTTAAATTGCTTATAGTGGTTGAGTTGGGATTGGGTTTCTAATTCCAGGTTATGTGGCTCTTTCCACTATAACATTCTGCCTTTCTCTCTCTCTGTACCTCGGTTTCTTATTTGAAAAAATGGGCATAATAATATTATCCTACTCAATTCATAGGGTTGTCATGAGGATCATATGATATAATCTTTGTAAAATGCTTTGCAAGTATAAAGCACCATATAAATGGCAATACTAACTACCTTTGTTGTCCTGAATAAGTCACTTAATCTCCCTAGCCTCAGTTTCCTTATCTGTAAAATGAAGAGGTTGGACTCTTTGGCCACAGAGGTCTTTCTAGCTGTAGCTCTCTGGCCCTATGACCCTAAGTACTCAATATTAAGAAAGAAAAGGGGGCAGCTAGGTGGCACAGTGGATAGAGCATGGACCCTGGAGTCAGGAGGATCTGAGTTCAAATCTGGCCTCAGACACTTGACACTGACTAGCTGTGTGACCCTGGGCAAATCACTTAACCCCATTGCCTAGCAAAAAAACAAACAAACAAAAAACAAGAAAGAAAAGGATGATTCAGTCTACCATAAAATCATGACAACTCTCTAAGGCTAAAAAATTGCCCAAGAGTAGCAGTCCATGTTGGAAGGAGTTTCCTTATTAGGAGATCCTTATGCCAATAAAATCACAGGTCTAGACTCCCCACAATGAAAACAAAAATCATAATAAAAATAGATTAAATTAACAAAATTTTAAAGTAAAATTATTCCTTATGTCACCTAGAGTTTGATTTTGGCTATAGCTTTTGTTCTTTGAATAAATTACAAGAATGCCTTTCCCTTCCTGGGCCACATTAAGAATGCATACAGATATAGTAAATGGTAACCAGATGTTTAGAGATAAAAGCTGAGTGTATTGTTAGATGCGTTGTCAATTATTTAATATCCATTTTTACGAAGCATCATGCATTTGGCATGCACCCTATTTAGAATGTTTCTAAGTGTTCTTCTTGGCAAATGTGCGTTCTTTTAGACAATTTGTATTATGTGACCTTAAGTGGATTTCCATGGCCCTAGAATTCATCACCATGGACCAGTACTGGTGATGGCTTCTCTTAATTTAGCTACGTAGGTCCTCAGGAAGCATATATCTTTTAGAGGTGGGACCATACTAGAGCTGATTTTTGTCATATTTTGAAGGTCCTGTGAATTCAGATTGCTAGGGCAGTAGTGAAACAAAGCCTTGGAAAAGCAGAATGTAGTGGGAGACTGGGGATGTTTACACCACCATTGCCTTTAGAGTGGCTGTGCACAGACAGGTTTTAAGCTGGAGAGAAGCAGAGAAGTTTGAAGATATCATGAGAGCAAAAGGAGTTGAACCAAACACTTCACATTTGAAAGTACATAGCAAAATGGGCAACTAGGTGGTGCAGTGGCTAGAGCATCGGCCCTGGAATCAGAAGGACCTGAGTTTGAATACAGCCTCAGCCATTATTAGCTGTGTGACCCTGGACAAGTCATTTAACCCTGATTGCCTTAACAACAATAAAAAATGCTAGTATAAAAAAAGAAAGTAAATAATAGGTATGAATTTCTAAGTCTGAATTTATGAATTGATATTTTAAACCCTTTAAAGTTTACACAGCCCTTTCACACATAGTGACATGTGATCTTCATGGCAACCCTGTGAAGCAGGCACTAGAGGTGGTATTCTCATTTCACAGATGAAAAAACTGAGGCTCGTATAAGTCTGTAACTTGCTGATCAATAGTAACACTGTGTGTCAAAGGCAAGATTTGAATGCAGCCTTCTTCTGACTCGTTAAATCGAGTGCCCTTTTCACTATACCATGTTACCTCCCCGATTTCTTAATATATGCCTTAATCTTATTCACATTTTACAATTCTAAGGCATACTCAAAAAAAGCAACAGATTGATCTTCTGGTCCTTCAGGGAAAGGTCTTATGGTTTGGGTTGTGTGGTTGCATTCATGTGTCTACAATCCTCCAATCGGAAGTGACTTAATACCTACTTTCTTTTATGAGATAATCTGTTGCACAGGTAATATTTTGGTCTTTAAATTCCCCAGTGAGCCTAATTCCAGCTTCATTGTATGGAATAGTCCCCTCATATGTTTCTTAGTGTGGCATTCATACCATCTGGAAGTAAACTCTTTAGTTTTATGCCATGCATTTCAGGGAGGACAACATAAGGTAAAGGGCATTTGGAGAAGGGAGACCGGGATGGTGCAGGGCTTCAAGGTCATGCTACTTGAGGACGAGTTGAAGGAAGTGGGAATGGTTAGCCTGGAGAAGAAAAGATCTGGGTGGGGGAGGAGGTGGTAGAAGATGATTGCTCTCCTCAAATTTCTCGAGATTGTTAGATGGAAGAGAGATTACCTGTTCTGCTTGGTATCAAATGGCAGAACTATGTGTAATGAGTGGAAATCAAAGAGGCTGATGTAGAACAATTAGAGCTATCTAGAAGTGGAATAGGCTGCTAAGGATGGGAGAAGTGGGAGGCTAGGAGTGATTCTCCTTCCTGAAAGGTGAAGTGTGGGTGACTATTCATTGGGTTTACTCTCATAGCTGACATTTACATAGAACTTTAAGGTTGACAAAATCATTTTTCACATTACTTAATTTGGTTTCTACAACAACCCTTTGGGGTAAATAGGTACTATGAGTAGTATCCATTTTACAAATAAGGAAACTGAGGCTCAGAGAAGGCTTATGTGACTTGCTCATGATCACAGAGCTAGTGTCAGGGTGGGATTCAAATCCAGCTCTTTGAGGATACAAGTCCAGGTCTTTCTCTGATAGCCCATGGTGCTTTTCTCAGTTTTCTAGAATCTAGAGAACATCCTTGTTCAGTCATAGTTGGATTACACAGCCTCTGAGATTCTATGATTCTGTACATTTCTACCCTGGCAGAATTGGGCTCATGTGAATTGTAAAATTATGCCTATCATATTTATTACTGCTCTGGAAATTTTCCATGATTTTTTTTCTCTGCATTGGCAAATGAAGGCAATTATCAGGCCAAAAAGAAAAAAAATCCCAAACCAAAACAAAACACAAAGAGCAACTAACTTTGGCCTCAATTATTTCGGGCAAAGCTGAAAACTGAAAGGCTTTGTCTGGTTGGTCTCTTAAAATGTAGATTGTTGAGATAATTGTCTCAATTCTGCTTTCCATTTCCAACACCCAGACACAATTTCAAGAGTGCAAAAGGCTCAACCTAGTCCTGAATAGATCAGTATTTTGTTAGGATTCTTTTTTTTTTTTTTTTTTTTAAGAAAAGCTATCCATTTGAATCGTACTCTGTCCTGCCTGCTACCCTAGGGCCCTTTCCTAGCGTCCCTCAGAGGGAGAACAATGGTTTTTCTTGGTTTTCTCCTTGTCTTTTAGGGAGTTTCTGGCCCTTCTAAGTATATAAATAAATAAACAGGAAGCGGAATTTAAAAGAGCTGAGAGAACTAATTCTTAGAAGTTTCTGCTCCTGCCTTTTAATTTGATGCTTTTTCAGTTGCTGGGACTTTTAGGTGGCATTTATGGAATAGGAAGGTCATCCCACAGTCTGCTTTTTGTTTTCAAGTGTAAGTGGTCCAATGCCCTTATGTGTGCAAAGGGCTTTGTAGACTTTAAATTGGTATATAAATGTTACTGTTTGCTATTATTAATATTTTTATTATTGTTCAGTCGTGTCCAGCTCTTCATGACCCCCTTTGAGGTTTTCTTGGCAAAGATCTAGGGTGGTTTGCCATTTCCTTCTCCAGCTCATTTTAGAGATGAGGAAACTGAGGCAAACAGGCTTAAGTGACTTGCCCAGGGTCACACAGCTAGTAAGAGCCTGAGACCAGATTTGGACTCAGGAAGATGAGTCTTCCTGACTTTAGTCCCAGTACTCTATCCACTGTGCCACCTAGCTAATGTTAGAATTAAGAAGATCTGGTAGAAGTTATGCTTCCTTCACACTGCCTTCATAATGCTTGATTTCTTTCCCTTGTGAAGCCAGTCAGTGAACTGCCAAACTGTTTTCATTGGTTGAGTGACTAGCCCTCCAACAGAACTTGTTTCCTTCCCCCTGCCTGACTCCCAGGAGTGTGGACAGAGCTGGCCGTTTTTTGGCATTCAGATCCTCCGAGAGTTTGCACAAAAAGGAAAGAAACCAGGCTGAACCAGGGGGCCTGAATGGTGATCCTGGGAATGTCGGACTCATGTGTAGAATGTCAGCCCTGGAAGACATGAGAGATTTAGAGATGGGAAGTCAGTAGCTAGTTCAAAGTCACCCACGTAGTAAGTCACAGCTGGGGACAAAGCCCAGACCCTCCCACCCCACAGCCAGCTCTCCTCACTTGCACCACACTCTTATTTTAATGGACAATAACCTACAACACACGAAGGTATTACTAACAATTACAAAAGTAGTCTGAAGAAATAAAATAAGGTCCAATTTTTTTTATTGTTAAAAGTTCACATACAACCATCTTTTTTATTGTACTGTGTTACGGAAATGCTTGTTTTATTCCATAAATTAAAAATAAATTGTTTAAAAAAGTACACAGAAGACTTTAAAATTACC